AGTCATGTAACCACGACACATGCGAACAAAACAGATCTTATCAAAACTTTATTATTATTATATTAGTTGAAGTATGATCAAATAGCATAGAAAAATAGAGCATTCTTTTCTCTATCAGACTGCATACAAAGAAAGTCTCTTAAAGCTTTTTATAAGGAATAAAAGTACTACTGCCACTACTTTTGGATTGCCCTAAGTATTTTTGCTTCTATAGTGCAGGATTTATATTTACTCGAATCTTCCACTTTATTGAAGGATTAAATTGAATTGACTTTTTTTATTCGTCTTGTCTTGAACATGTCACATAATATCATATTCATCATAGTAAATGATAATTCTTGATGTATCTTCCAAAAAAACATAGAATTAAATAATTTTTTAGATCACTGTCAAACAGTTGATGGAAAGCAAAGACCATTATTGCTCAGAACATAGGACAAAGTAGTAATCTATTACTTTTACTAACATGCCTATGCTTTAACAAAGAACAAGGGAATTATTCTAATTGATTTGAGTGTGGGTAAGATGTATGTGAATCCGATACCGTTTTATTCACACTTACACCCACACCCACATCCAATTCTCATATAAAAAAATTTTGACATCCCTTCCCTCTGCCCCATTCCCGATTAAATCCTGGCGATCTCAAGACAGCCCTGGCCTATCAGCAATAGGCCACAAGAAGGAACGGAGTTGAGCCATGGCATAAGCCAAATTCTAGCTACGCCACTACTCTCTCTTCCGAAAATAGGATTTCTATTCCTGTAAAAGATATAGCTTTACTAGCTCGACCCTCATCCTCAGTTTCATCATCTTTCAGTATAGGGACGAGTGAATCGGGGTCCGATGAACGTTACGTGTAGTTTTTATCTGATGTTTTCATTTTTTCGACAAAATAATTTATTTTTATTAATCAATTAGATTATCTTTTTCTATTGTTTAAATTATTTATTATTTTTATTCCATTTATTTTTTAACAAAATACAAAAAATCTTTCATGAAAAAACAAAAAATTATTTGTCAAAATTCATTTTATTCAAAGAAGTATTTTAATTTGAAATAACATCAAATTTTTGTACTCGATGATTCTCATGATCGACAACATATAGATTACCTTCTCGATCGAATGTTAAACCTCTGGGACCATTCAATTGGTTTTGTTGGTTTCCTTCTCCATTGCCACCAACAACGATTGAACCTTCTTTAGATCCATTTAACCAACGCATTATTTGATGATTATGACAGTCAACCACATAGATATTACTCAAACTATCGACTATCACTCCTTGAGGACCAGACAATTGTGTGAGACTATCCTCTGGATCTTCTCCGCCAGCAACAACAATCCCTTCTTTTGCATCTTTCATCCATTTCATTACACGATGATTATTCCAATCCGATACATAGATTGAATAATCTTGATCAACGAAGATATATGTAGGAAAATCAAATTGATTGAGTTGATATCCTTCTTCATGTCCACCTGCAACAATTGTTCCATTTGTTTGTCCTTTTTTCCATCTTCTTACTTCATTTTTTTCACAATCAGAAACGTAAAGATTTCCATCATTATCCATTGTTAGACCCCAACAATCAATATTGGAGATAATTACTTGTCCATTTTTATCATTTTGACGAAACCATTCCATTACTCGTCTGTTTCCTTGATCAGAAATTAAAAGAGAATTATTCTTTTTATCAACAATTACATCTGTTGGCTTATTCAATTGATCAATTCGATTTCCCTGTCCATTTCCACCTGCAACAACTTTACCATTTTTGTCATTAAATTTATATTCAACAATACGATGATTTCCCCAGTCAGCAATATAAATTGATTGATTATCATCATCAACATAGATACCTCGAGGATAGTCGAGTTGGTTTAATTGATTTCCTTTTTCATTTTCTCCGGCACTGGTAGATCCATATGGTTTCCATTTGGTACTGATATTCATGTTAATAGGAGAAAGTATTTTTTTTCTAAGAAAAACAAAAGATTTAAAATACAAAAGAATATTGAAGAATTATTTTTAACAATGAAAAGTTTTGTTCTCTAAACTTTCATTTAAATAAAATATTTTGTTTAATTTTATAAAACATTGAATGAAAATACATGAAGTAATTATTTATTTATTCAATTTGATATTAATTCTTCTAAAAACAAGATTTGAGAAATAACTAATTAAATTTTCTTTTTTTCCTGTTTTTTTTAAATTTATTTATTCATTCGATCCACAAATGTTGATACTTCATGAAGAAATATTCGAAGGAAATTCGTTTTCAAATCCTGTCTGTCGGTAAGTGTCACACAGATATAAATGACGAGTAAAGTACAAAAGAGTATGCAAATTGACATGGACGAGCAGCATTTTCAAAGCTACAATATTCACGCTACTTCATTGGTAGTAGACGTTCAATTGAAAAAAATCTCATAGAAGATCGAACATCGATGAATAACATTCATTGATGATATTATAGCGATCGATATCATTAGATAAAAGACGCTATTGATGGATGTTTTAAAATCACTCGTCATTATGAACAATCTAATTTATTTTGTATGCTGAAGTAAATCATTAGAATAGCGAAATGACAT